CCTAGCTTTACCAAAATCGTTAACCAAATCCCTCTCTGCCCCACCACTATCACCTCTCTTACCTTCACCTTCACCTTCAGCCCTTCTGTGAAAAGCTCCTTCACTTTCTCCCAGTTGGTCTCCTTACCTTCCCATTTCTCTTTCTCCACTCTTATAATTATATTCCTCTTTCTGAAGTCGTCCTCGTTCCTTTCACCCTCACCTGCCCACCATTTCTTCTTTCCCGCCATACTCTCCTCGCTATCCTTCCTCTTCCTTTTGCCTCCACTTTGTTCCAACCTTTCTATCTTTCTCTCCAGCCTCCTTACCTTCTCCTCCAGCTCCTCCATCCTCTCGTCCTTTTTTCTGTCTTCCTCCTTCTTTTCCCTCAGCATCTTCCTTAACTTCTCCTCTACAATCCCTTCCACTGCCTCCACTATCATTCTCCCTTCACGCTCCATCCTGCCTGCTCTATAACAGAACAATTAATCACTTCACTTTTTCTCTACTTTCCTCTTCCTCCCCTCCCACTTATCCTCCTCCCCCATCTCCCCTTCCGTCTTCCCCACTACTCTCCTTTAACTCCTCCAAATCTCCCTTTCCACTCATTCTCTCCCCTTCTAATTCTAGCATCCATTCCTCTCTTCCTCCTTCCTCGTCCAAAACCCATCCTACCGCTTCCTGCCAGCTTCCCTTTCCTGAATTCCATCTTCTACATTCTTCCCATACATGCTCCCACGTTTCCTCCTTATTCCCACACAACCTACACTTCTTTTTCTCCTCCGCTTCCCAGTATCTGCTCTCTCCTATCTTATTCCCTAATCTGAATCTCGCCACCCTTCCCCATCTACTTTCTCCCCATCCCTTCTTCAAATATCCCGGGATACCCTCTCCCTTTATCCACTTATACCACTTATTATATTCTGATTTCTCGATCCTCTCCCATCTCTCTTTTCTCTGCGTCTCCCTATCCCCTTCAAACAACTTAAGAAACCATTCGTCTCCATCTCCTCTTATCTTTTCCACCTCTTTTAGCCCCACACCTCTGTCTTCGAAGAACTTTCCTCTCTCTCTTTCCCAATCTGAGCCAGCTTTCCCTTCCATCTCTCTTTCCTTCAACTCTTCCCAGGCCGACCTCGCCAGTTCACTTCCTCCACCTTCCTCTAACTTTTTCTCAAATCTCCATGCCCTCATTCCTGCTCTCCCTCTTAATTTCTCCCTTTGTAACTCCTCCCTCACTAGATACCACGGTGTTCTCACGTCCGCTCCCAATACCCATCTAATGTACCTTTCTTCCATTCTTTCTATTCCTTCCCTTTCTCTCCATCCCCATATTTCCGCTCCATAACTCAACACCGTCCACACCAGTCTATCGAACAGCCACAGTCTTTTTCCCCAGTCTTTCCCGAATCTCCTCTTCCCTATCCCCCAGACTTTTCCCATCACTGCGGCCGCCTTTTTGATCCTTTTCCTTATTTGGGCTTCCTGCCCTCCATTTCTTTGAAACACGTATCCTAAATACCGAAATTTCCTCACCTCTTCTAACTCTTTTCCTTCCCATCTCCACTTTCTCTTACTGTCCCTCCCTCCTCCTTTCCTAAACCTCATTATTTTTGTTTTCCCCACGTTCAATTCCAATCTCTTCCTGCCCAGGTACCCCTCTAGTCTTTCTATCAGACTCCTCATTTGGTCCTTGTCCTCTGCGATTAGCACTATATCATCCGCGTAGGCCAGAGTATACACCCTCTTGCCTCCTAGCTTTATCCCTCCCCATTTAACTCTACCCATTTCCTCTTCCAGGTCTGCTAGCAACACATTGAACAGAATCGGGCTCAAAGGGCATCCCTGCCTTACTCCCCTCCCCGTCCAGAATACTTCTCCCAATTCGTTTCCTCCTCTTACCCTACTCTTCGTCTCTCTTAACATCTCTTCCGTCCTTCTTACCAGTCCTTCCCTTATTCCCCTTTCTCTCATAGCTTTTATTAGTATTCCTCTATCCACCGAATCGAACGCCGCCTTAAGGTCCACAAAACATGCTATCAGTTTTCTCCCTTTCTTCTCTAACCTTCTGTTCACCATGTAGTTCAACACGTAAATGTTGTCTATCGTTCCCATTCCCCTTCTAAAACCTGTCTGGTTGTGCGGTACCATCCTCTTTCCCTCTATCTCCTCCCTTATCCTCTCCGCCAGAATAGCCATGTACACCTTATACAAAGAAGGCATTATTGTCACCCCTCTATATTCCTATGCCCTCTTTCCTTCCCCTTTCTTTACGATTGGCGCAATTATACCTTCCTTCCAAATTTCCGGCCATCCTCCCCCCTTCCATATCTTATTGATAAATTTCCATGCCTAAACCTCCAACCCCTTCCCCCCTCGCTTCCAGGCCTCTCCTGGAATCTCATCCTTTCCCATTGCCTTTCCGTCCTTTAGCTTCTTTATAACTCTCCTCATTTCCTCTAGACTTATCTCCTCTTCCTCCTCTCCTTCCTTTTTTTCCCTCTCTCCTTCCTTCCCCATCCTCACCCTCCCCTCTACTCCTCCTAATAACTTCATAAAGTGCTCTTTCCATTCTTCCTCTTCTATTCCTTCCTCTATTCCCCTCCTTTTCCTTCTCTCCCTATTCACTATCTCCCATACCTCCGCCTCCCTCCTTGCTCCCTCCACTTTTCTCTCCCATCTCTGGTTCTCCCCTTCCTTCTTTCTCTTACATATCTCCTTAAATTCTTTCCTCCTTTCCTTGTACGCACTGGCCTCTCCTCTTTTCTTCCTCCAGTCCCTTAATTTTCTCCTTGTCTCTTTCTTCGCTTCTCGACATTCCTCATCCCACCATCCCACTTTCCCTTTCTTATTTCCCAGCTCCTCCTCTACCCCTTTTATTGCCTCTGTTATTCTTGTTTCCATTTCTTCCCATTCCTTATTCAACTCTTCTTCTTTTTCTTCCACCTCTCCTATTTTTTCTATAAACCTCTTTGCTCCTTCCTCGTTCCACACCCCCCTGCTTCTTTTCTTCCACCCTCCTCTCCTGCCTTCCTCCTCTTCCCCCCTTCTTACTATTATTTCCAATGGGTGATGGTCCGAGTCTACTCTCTCCCCCACTACCATGCTCACTATCTTCTCTCTTACTTCTCCTTCCCCTATTATGTAGTCAATCACCGTACCTCCTCTTCCCCCCGTGAAAGTAAACTCCCCTTCCTCGTCTCCTCTCACATTTCCATTGAATATCTCCCATCCTCTCTCCTCTAAGCTCTTTACCAACAGCCTCCCCTCTCTGTCCACCTTCTTGTCCTTCGACTTTCTTCCTTCTCCCAGTCCTCCTCCCTCCTCTTCCTCTATCCTCCCACCTTCTTGACCAGTCCTCGCATTAAAATCTCCCCCAATTATCGTATACCTTCCTTCTTCTTTCTTTTCCATTCTATCTCCTAACTCCTGTACGTTCTCCTCCATCCCCTCTTTCTTTGCATACACCCCTATAATACTCCAGTTCTCGCCATCTGTTCTGACCTTTCCCGCAATCCAACCCTCCCTATCTACTTCTATTGCCGTTCCCTTTTCTTTTAATCCTTTCCTTATTCCCATTATCATCCCTCCTATTGCTCTTCCTTTTTTATTCTTTTTCTTCGCCATTTGCACCCCCCACTCGTACCCTTTTGGAAGTCTCCCCCTTATTTTTTCCCAGCCCTTTTTTCCTATCCAGGTCTCTAACATGACTAGCACATCTTCTTTCTTCAGCCCTTCCCAAAAATCCTTATCTTTATTTTCCAACCCAGCTACGTTCCAGAATACTATCCTCCAAACTGACTTACTTTCCCCCTCTTCTTCTCTTCTAACTTTTGCGTTGTTTTTCTTTATCTCACCCCCTCTATCCTCTTCTCCTCTTATTCCCCCGTCTCCATTCCTACCTCTCCCTCTCCTCCTTTACCTTCTTTCCCTTCCTTCCCTCCTCTGCTCTCCTTTCTTCTCCTTCCCCTTTCGTCCTTTAACACCTCCTCTTCCATATCCCATCTCCACCAAGTATTTTCCAACCTTATTCTTCCTGCCTTAATCCATGCCCTCCTACCCTCTCTTTCCTCCCCTCTCGCTATCTCTCTCAACCTCCAATTCATTCTTCTTTCCTCCCACGATAGGTCCTCCGTAATTCTTTCCTTTCTCCCCACTAGGCTCCTCTTTCTTTCCATAACCTCCCATTTCTGTTCTTCGTTCTCCAATTTCAACAGCACCATTTCCCTTCCTTTTTTTGCATCACCTCCTATTCTCTTCACCTCTATTGCCTTTACTTTCGCTCCTATTCCTTCTAGTAACTTTTCTGCATTTTCTCTCCTCCCTCCTTCTTTTACTTCCAGCCCTCTTATTACAATGTTTCTTCTTCTCTCCTCCTTTTCTTTCCTTTCCAGCCTTCTCTCCAGTTCTTTCATTTTCTCCCCCACCTCCCCTCTACCATTTCTTTCCTCCTCCTTCTTCTCCTCCTTCCTCTCTTCCATTTTTTCCTCCAAACTCCTTATTCTTTCTTCCATTTTCTCCTTCTGCTTATTTGTCTCTTCCCTCTCCTCTTTCCATCTCTTCTCTCGCTCCCTAAACTCCCTTCTCAGGTCCTCTATCTCTTCTCTCATCTTCCTACCCTGCTCCTTGAAACCCTCCCTTAGCTCTTCTCTCACTGCCCTAAATTCCTCCATCATTTCTCCCATTCTTTCTCCCAACTCCTTCACACCTATCTCCGAGTCTTTTTTAGGAGATCTTGCCGTCATGTTACTTCTCTTAAAAATCTCCTCCTTTTCCTCCCCCCCGCTCCTATCCATTTCCTCCCTCTTCCTTTTCCATAACTCTTCTATATTTCCCGTGCTCCCCCTTCTAACTTTCTCCTTTTCCTTAACCTTACCTATCGCACTCTTTCCCTCCCTCCCGTTTTCTTTCCCTTCACTCATCTCCTCCTAACTCGGCTCACTTCCCCCTCTAGCTCCACCACCTACTCTATGCCCTGCCTCGCGCTGCTGTCCGCGTCCCGGATCCTGCGTCGAGTCGTCCCTCTCTCTTCGCTATTGTTCGCGCCCTACCTCGTGCTGCCGCTCTCGGCTCGGCTCACCTACCGTGCGCCCCTCTAGCTCAGCTACCGTTCGTGCTTCCACCTTCTCAGTGCCTAGACACTTTACCTCCCTTTATCTCCTCTTACCTGCCCCTCCTCTGTTCCCCTTCTTACCTCCTCACTCTCTCACCTCCATACCTCCTCGCTCTATCACCCTCTCCTTCCTCAGCCTCCCTCGTCACTCTCTTCTAAACCCTTTTGCTCTCGCTCACTTGCACACCTGTCACTCTCGTTCTCTCCGGAACCGGCTATCATTTGTAGGTGTCAACTGAAACATGTATTTAATAATAATTAATATTGTGAAATATTATTAAGCATCAAGATCCGCTTCGACCGAAAACGGCACTTCTCATTGCTTATATGTTATTTTAAGTTTTTTTTCTAATTTTGCATAAGATACTTTTTTTTTAATTGACATATTAATTTTTACTTTCCATGGAAAAATTGAAGGTTTGGTTGAAGGTCTGTTAATTTCCATGTAAAATTGTAGTATCTTATAAACATCTAAAAAAAGCAAATTTATGTAGATTTTCATGAATTCACGAGTTGTAAAAGGCTTAAGAATTTTGTCGTTTTCTGTAGAACCTTGTAGTATTGTATGCAAAATTACAACCATTCACGAATCAGAAATTTATATAGGTAAAAAATTGTACATTTATGTATTTTTCTATTGGACTTTACAACAGACTATACGAAAATAAAAACATAAGTATTTTGACTTCTGCAAATTAAGATGTTATTAATAATAGATGAATTTTGGAAGATTTATGTAAAAACTTGTAACATTTAACTAAAAATTACAAATTTTAATTAGCCATAATTGTAATAAATTTTTGAGCTGTACAAACAAATCGGTATTTGTTAGTATTTGTACACAGTTGTAGTATTTTATGAGAAACGAAACACTGGATTAGATTCTAATTTGTATAGTTTTACGATATGTAAATTGTGGTAGATCTCTATAGTCATTTATAGTCATTTAGATTTTGTTTCCTTTTAAATTTTTAAAATTTGTAGATCTTTGTACTATTTTTTTATAAAATTGTAGTTTTTTATAAAAATACTACTTGCAAAATTTCTTGATTTGAAAACATTGTAATAATTTGTGGTACTATTTCATAGATATTTCTACAAAAAAATAACTATTTCTACAAAAAATTAAATATTTCAACAAAAATGTACAAATTTCTATTTTTAGTTAAATTTTGTAGTTATTCATAGAAATTTTTTCCGCCAGGGTACAAGCGGTGGAACGCAGTACATTTGAGAAAAATGATAAGCTTGGTATGGCAACCATCATACAAACGGTCAGTAACGAATACTTGCGACTAATAAAAAGTAAGACGTGCAAGCAAGCTATACAGATATTGAAAGATCGTCTCGAAAGAACGGGCGCTCTACGAATGCTATACGCGCGATGTGAGTTTCATGAATCTCTAAAATATGAAATGCGTGATAACCTCTCGACATTCATGGTAAAATTTGGCAGGTGCATAGAGCAAATGGAGACCTGAGGCCTTGTGATAACCGAGGAAGAGAAAATTACTTAACTCTTAATGTCGATGCCAGCAGAATTCAACAACGTAATCACGGCGATCAAAACTATGGCAGCCGAGTTCGTAAAAAACCGTCTTTTGGACGAAAAAATGAAACTAAAGAAATGACAAGCGTCAAGTTACGGACGAGACGTGGCATTCTTATCCTGCTTTAACTGCGGTAAGCAAGGGCACATCAAACGAAACTGTCGCTACAAGCAAGGAAACGACAACAGAAGACATGGCAATCGACAACTCTCCGAGTACAACGAAAAGCGTGCGACGGGAAGGCAATCACCGGGAACAACACGTGATGGACAGTCAAGACAGAGAGATAAGTTCAATCATTCACGATAAAACGACAGAGAAAACTCAAGCGGCAAAGCGCGAACAGCCGAGGCAACTCGAAAAGAAGATGTCGTCACATTCTGCTCGCAAGCGGATACAGCGTACGGTAACACAGATAATAAAGGTATAAACTTCATATTAGATTCGGGCGCGAGTTACCACATGATTAAAAAGGAACTGTTCGAGCTTACGTACAACCGGAGAAAACTAAAGAACCGATCAAAGTTACGGTGGCAAAAGCAGATCAGGCAATTACGGTAACTGAGATAGCCGATATAAATCTGGATTACAAAGGTAAGATCATTTAATTAACCGATGTATTATACGCTACCCAATTAAAATGCAATCTTCTGTCCATTAAACGGCTAGAAACTAAGGGATTTCAAGTCGAATTTAGAAACGGATCCGGACATACATACAAAGGAAAAGAGCTGATCGTGCGAACGCAACCCAGAAGCAACCTACATAATTTTACATTTAAGAAGACGTCAACGAACGATTGGGCAAATATAGCGCTAACTGGCGACCCAATGATATGGCACCGGCGCCTAGGACACTCGTGTGCAGTTAAACCAGACGGCGTGTATGCAGAACATGCATTGAAGCAAAGATGAGCAAGCAACCTCACTCAAGAATGAGGCCGAGAACAAAACAGATATTCAACAAAATTCACGTTGATCTCTGTGGATCTATCAGCCCAATAGGCATAAACGGAGAGAAATACTTTCTCACAATTGTGGACGACTACTCACACTTCATCGCTGCATATCCATTTCGGAATAAAAGTGAAATATCCGAGAAATTAGAAGAATTTAAACATAGATACGAAAGCAAGTTTAGAAGACACATCAAGGCAATACGATGCGAGGCAGGCACAAAATTCGTGAACAATATACGCTAACGAAGATATTCAAAGATGCTGAGTTCGAGATAGCACCGCCCTACACACATGCGCTAAATGGTGTAGCTGAGCGCGCTAACAGCACAATAACTGAGATAGCTAGAGCCATGATAATCGACAAAAACGTACGAAAATACCTGTGGCCATGTGCCGTTATGTACACTGTATCCAGGCCGGACAGGAGCCTTCAAAAAAGCGCAGGCTTTGAATGTTCAGAGGGCGCAAAATATTTTGACGAACTCAAAAAAATTTATTAATAAAGACCTATTTATTAATAAAGAAAAATTCATGGGATAAGTAAATTTTATTTCACAAAATTGGAAATTGAAAACAGTCTGATATTCTACACAGATAAAAGTCGTTTTATTTCTTGACTCTGTTCACAGAGTCGATTGATAATCATATCATTGTCAAGTGCCACAAGCTTGTCCCTCTCACATTGCATTATAAGAAATGCTTCCAGGTTGTCATTTGTTAAATTAGAGCGCAACCTTGTTATAAGTTTAAGCTTCGAAAAAGCTCGTTCACAACTTACTTGGGTTAGAGGTATTGTAAGCAAATATTTATAAACTTTATGCAGCTCTGTGTACAAAAGACAGTACATGTTGTAGTCATAAATCACTTTATACACACATTTTATGCACACCTTACAAGGTTCTTACATTTGACATGTCTTTATTTTTTCATTTTCTTCAGCTTCCTCTGATACGTCATTTTTTGAATCCATGTCCATATCCTTAATATATTCATCTCTCAACGTTGAGGACATCTGAGGCCAATTTTGTACAAAAGATTGTAGCTCTTCAGTTAGCTTGTCTCTGTCAATATTCGGCACTAAATCACATATTTTGTTCAAGGCATTTGCTGGCAAACCTTGTTTAAGCTCAGGAAACCTCCGTGGATCAAAACATGCAAGGTCTAGGTATACGTTCTTCTGATCAGCAAATCTGGTCTTCATACTCTGGTTAAACTTGTGAATAACAACATAAAAAACTTTTATTCGAAATCTATCCTCTTCGGAGAAGTTTGTTTCATCTTCTGCCAACTCACCAGACATTTTCTTGATCTTTCTTACTCTCTTACGTGGCAACTCTGAGTCAATGCAAAGGTTTTCCACTTCTAGAGAAGGATTTTCTTCTATTTTTTTATCTAACTTTTTAGATATAATAGATACAAACCCTGGTAACCATATCTGATAGAAAACGATTAAAAACGGCTATATCTGTATCGTTTTTAATCGTATCTTATCGGTTCTATCGTTGCATATTTAGAAGACAGATAAAACATTAATCAAATCGAATCGGTTTCTATCGTTTTAGGTCCGAATAAGAAAATAACTATACAAATTTTATAGTTATGAATCGTTTTCTATATGTACAATTATTGCCCGTCTGAATCAATCGTATATACACGATATAATATGTATCGTTATTTATGGTAATAATTTTACCGTATGCATTAATACGGATATATAAGAATAAAATGATAGACATCTTATCGATATTTATATGACTTAACCGAACCGATACATCTATCGTTTCTTATCAGGATTTTCTGACATACAACTTATCATCTTCTTTATGGCAGCAAATCGGTTCGTTTTCTATCGTATATTAATGATATAAATTG